TTCAGTGACATTCGGTAACAATTAGTATAAGAAAAAAGGTGTCTTTGTCTGATCTCCGAACAGCATTTACATATTCTAATTATTCATTTTCTTAGGGCTTCGTTGACAAGGAATATTTTTCAAGAGCTGATAGAAATATATTTTGTAGTACATTTTGAGACAAACATACATATGAGATTAAGAAGAAGAAGAAGAAGAAGAAGAAGTGGTTGAAGAAAGTGTTTGAAAGTTTTCTAGAAGCAATTTTCTGAAAAACATGTGCTTTTGGTATTTGAAAAGTGACATTAGAAACAATTTTACAGTTACAATATTGTAGGATAAATTAATTTATGAGACAGCAAAAAAGTTTCTTGAACAAGTGCTCTGGCCCACGAATTAAAAGTAATTAGTTCAAGTCTCACTAAATCTAAATTTATTCTAATTGAATTTAGTATTCATCCCTATTGAAGGGCAACTAGTTGTAATGTGAGTTGAGTTGTAATTAATGTGTATACATTATTCATTGTTCATATGTATGTTATGCATTATTCATTGTCTATCAACTTTAAAATCACGACGGAATTTCCTTGTTTTTTGTATTAACTTGTTCATAGATTTTCAAGAAGAATTCACTTATAGTATGTATAAACGATGAACATAAATATGGGATTCCTTAAAAATCATAAAGTGAGCTATTTTTTTAGTATTTATCTGTTATTTTCTCCCCTAGAAATATATCACAACCTCGAGGCTAAAACATGAAAAAAGGAACGCGGTTTCCACAACTAAGAGACCCTACCACTTAAGTGCTAAGCATTTAAGTGCTGGGAGACAGAAACTAGCTAGCGTGCCATAAAATCTCTAGTTTCATATGAATAACTAAAAGCAAAGTAGATGGCGTTGCCTCGTCCAAGAATCCAGCTCTCTTTCCTTTCATTTTTCTCTTTAATCTTTATCGCACAATCCAAATTAGAGCTTTATCCTCAAGGCCACGAAGTTGTATTGGCTATCCTGGAGGGGATGAGCTCCAAGGGTCAAGATTATGCTTTCGTCCAAAGCCCATGCAACTTTGTTGGGATCTTAACAGCTTCCTTGAAATGCTTCCCTAACTCCCCAAAGTTCTCTTGCGCTAATTACTATTTCAGTGGAAAACTCATTTGCAGTCAGTTTTTAAACATTATTTGGCACAGACATCTCAGAACTCCAATGCCAGAATCTACCATAAAGAACTCCAAACGTTACATCTTCATTGAGAATCAGATGAGGAGGTATCAACACCCTACAAGATTTATTGCTCAACCTCCCTTGCAGCTGAATGCATTAGCACAACCTCTCAAACATCACCACAAAAGAATGAAGATAGATGGCTGGATTTTTTGGGTTGGGATTTTAGTAGGAGGCCTAGCAGGGCTGTCATTTTCAATATTCTTGAGCTCAATCATGCTCAGGTGCATTAAAGAACCTAAAGTTGTTGTGGAGAGAAAAGGCGTGACTACTTTTACAAGACTGATTCATCCACCAGAATTGGCTTTCCTGAAGAAAGAAGATAACTTGGCCTCACTTGGACATTTCATTGGCAAAGGTGGATGCGGTGAAGTCTTCCGGGTCGAATTACCAGAAAGAAGGATTGCCATAAAGAGAATTGCTGAGCCCCATAAGACTACTAGGGAGCTAACTGAAGAAGACAGCAAACTTTTGGATAAGAAAATGCGTCAAATTAAACAAGAAATCAAGACAGTTGGCCTAATAAGACATCGTAATCTGCTTCCTCTATTAGCCCATGTGCCGCAAGCTAAGTGCCATTATTTAGTCTACGAGTACATGAGGAACGGTAGCCTTGAAGATCTAATCTATCGAGTTTCAAAAGGGCACGAAAAACTATGTTGGTTGTCGAGGCATCGAATTGCATTGGGAATAGCTGAAGGGCTGAAATATATGCATACGGATATTACTCCGCGCATCATTCACAGAGATTTAAAGCCAGCAAATATCCTTCTTGATGACGATATGGAGGCCAAAATTACAGATTTTGGGCTTTCAAAAGCATTTCCAGAAATTAACACACATCTAATGAGTAATGTGGCAGGAACAGTAGGATACATGGCGCCAGAGTATCATGAGACGCTAATGTTTTCAGAGAAGAGTGATATTTACAGCTTTGGAGTAGTCTTGGCAGCTCTAGTAATGGGAAAGCTTCCAAAAGATGACTTCTTCCAGCACACAGAAGAGATGAACATGGTGAAATGGATGAGAAATGTCGCGGCTTCTAGTGATCCATGGCGAGCAATTGATCCTAATCTTATGGGAAATGGTCATGAAAATGTGTTGTTTTTAGCCCTCAAACTTGCCTGTACTTGTTCTTCGGACGAACCAAATGAAAGGCCAAGTAGCACTGATGTTAGAACCATGCTGGCTTCGCATTTTCCCCATTCAGGCAGGAGATGAGGGAGAGAGTGAAAGACTGAAAGGAGTAATAGAAAATTATCACTTTGATCCACTTTCAATCACATAAGGTATGCTATGTAACCTCAAATTATTCACGTGGAGGAATAAAGAATAAGATTTTATTCTTTTATTGTTAATTTTTTTTATGAGAAATGACAAATTCTACCCCTCACCTACTTACAATGTGCTAGTGTTTATTATCTCAAACAATCGAATGGTTTAATTTTTTTTTTTGTTACAATGGTAACTATCTAACTTATTCTTATTCTATTGGGGGGAAGGCGAGCCTAAACAAAACTATATTGGAGTTGGAGTTGAACCACCAGACCAAATAAATGCATTATTGCATTTTCTTAATTTTTTAAAAATAAGAAGCACTATACTTCTTGTTTGATACACTAGACAGAGTTTGAATTCTCAATCTCATGCATAGAAGAGTTTTAAAGGGACTCTTCTTGGCACGGGGAGTGCATGGTGATTAGCTGACTTAATTGATTGAACCGCAAACTAGCTATGGTGATGGTCTAATTGTATAGCAAAATGAAAAAAGATAAAAAGCCAGATAAACTCGGTAAAAACTAGTTAAACCAATCAAGTTAGTTTTCAATTTTATCTTGGGGCTATTGGTCTAATCAAGCTTTTGGGCAGTTGAAATTGTTTTTTTTTTTTTTTTTTTGAGCTACCAAAGCCCAAACATCCCACTGAACAATTCTGTTAGTAAAATACGAAAACAACCACTTATATTTTATCGGACATACACTTTTACCTCCAAATAATTCATAAACTTACACTTTAATCCCTTATAATTTTGAATAAAATGAAACTGTCAGTTTTTCATTTAGATTTAATAGTCAAATGAGAAATTTCGAAGTTTTTAAATGAAACAATGTTAAAATTATCAATTTGCCCTTTAGAATGAGGTAAAATGAAACCATAAACAAAATTTAGGCCATACTATAGATTTAGGAAGATTTAGGGTAAAAATAAATTTTCAGAAAAAAGGTTGATTTTCTCTACTAAATTCTGGCGAAGGAAACAACCATACACTATTACTGTTGCCATCGGCCGCTACCGTTATGCAGCAGTGAATTGTTATGAAACTCCTCTCAAAATTTTTATGAAACTACACCCTAATTCATTTTCATGCGAATCGTAATTATATATATTTAAAAAATTACATGAGGCTAGCCAAATGGGCCAAAAAGAGCCACGATTCTCCCTCTTTTTTTAAACTGAAATTAATCATCATCAAATCTTATACAAATTTACAGAAAGTGATGCCAATAGTTAAAAAACATGAATAGACTGAAATTTCATTGAGAAAAACATAAAAAGGAACACAAGATGATCACAGCGCATAGCTACGAAAACGACAACGTTGTTGTAGCATATGGCTCAGGCTTTTCTTTTTCGGCATCATTGCAAATTACTTGATCATGGTTTTGTCATTGTTTTAACTTTCTGGGCTTCAATGTTGGAATTTATTGAAGGTGTACCCTGGGATAAGAGAGCAAGCGCCGAGGCATGTTGATGGAGTAAAGAAAAGAGAGAGAGAGAGAAAAAAAAAGGGAATGAGAAAGAAAAGATAACTGAAAACAAAAAGAGAAAACAAAAAGAACATTTTTTTTTATCAAAAATTGAAATTACTTTATACCCTGTTAAAAAAAAGAAAAAAGGGGAAATTGGAATATGAGTTACCATTAAATGATTAAAAAAGATAACAAATTTATTTGTAAATGATAAAATTATCCTCATAACGACGTGAACTTTGTTAAATTGTAACATGTACTTTAATGAATAAAAATACGTACATTAGTGGATACTTATTTACATTTGAATGTGTATGTTTAAATCGAGATATGTAATGTATATATTTAAATTGAGATATGTGCATATATATATATATATATATATATATATATATATATATATATATATATATATATATATATATATATATATATAGTCTCTTGTATTAAGAGACGTGGCACCAAGAATAATTTCATAATTTTACTTTTCAAAAATAATTAATCTTTTTTCTATTTATGGTTATAAACAGTAACATATACTCCAAAACTAAATTACGTAAAAGTTGAACCCTCTTTATAAAAATCTATTTTTTCTGATTTTCTAGTCTTGTTTAGATTGTCATTTTTTCTTAAAAGTTTTTTAAATTTTATATGAACATATTTTTCATTCACATCTTTATTTCATATGTATCAAATTATTATCGTTATATTATATTTTTCTATAAAAATTTCAAAAAATAGTATTAACTATTTTAAATTTTTTTTCTAAAAATTTGATTTACCACAAGACAATTTGATTTCTCTTCAACTGGGTTTGTTTGGATTGATCTTTATTTCCCCAAGTATATTTGCTTACATCATCATTACAATTTCAAATACACCTTTTACTTTCTCAATTATTTTTTCATCTCACATACATCACATCACAAAAAGTGCTACAGTAAAAATATCTCAAATAACTTACAATCCAAACAAACCCCTTATTTATAAGGGTTTAAAGTGCAAATTAGGTTAACCATACTGATAGGACATTTTTTGTAATTTATTTATTCAATAAAACGGTTGTCGTTACAAATTTTAGAAGTCGATTACCGCACGACAATGGCCGCCGGAAACTACCTACCGACGGCGGAATTAACGGCAAGTGGCCGGCCAGTTCTCTACCCGGGCGAAATTGAAAGCAGTCTGCTCTCTTCCGTCGACCTTTTATCAGAAGAAAACCCTAATTTTCCCCACCTTAAATCCGGTCTCCTCATTCTCACCAATCACCGCCTCCTATGGCTTCCCAACTCCACCCCAGTTTCATCTCCCACCCCTGTACACATCCCGCTTTCCGCCGTCTCCCACATTTTTTCACTAAAAAAGTCGATTAAATCTGTATTTTCAACCCCTAGGATAAGATTCCAGGTCTCAGTGACTTCCGAGGGGAGAGTAGACGAAAAGGGCTTAAGATCGATCGTAATTGCTTTGGTCTTGAGAGGAAAATCGGACCCAGAGGCGTTTCTTGGGAAGTTCTGGGAGGCATTGAAGGTGAGGGCTTGGGAGGAGATTAAGGTTGGTGCAAGTGGAGCTGAGGCGGGGTCAAGTTCGGGGTCCCGGAGTGGAGAGGGGAGCTTGGCGCTGAGGATGCCGGTGGTTGGAGTTGCAGGGATTTTGAGGAAGGAGCAAGAAATGTGGGAAAGTACTGATAAAAGTTTGCAGGATGCATTTCAAGACCTGAATGCTCTCATGGTATGTAAGTATCACACAAACCCGCTGTATGCATGCGGAATAGTATTCCCTTTGCTCCAAATTGGATATATTTTTGCTAGTTTGAGAAAGAACATTATGGATGGGAAATGTAGGATTAGAAAAGTGACTGGCCTTTCCATGCCAAATTGGTAGAATAAAAGGGGTAAAATTGCCAATGTGTTAATGAGGTTCTATGAAAAAAGATTATGGAGATGAATTGTAGTTTTGGAAAGGCATGATTGCCATTTACATGTTAAATGTGGTGCAAGTAGGGGAGTAAGGTTACCCTTTACATACCAATCTTAGCATTAGTCAAGCATGATAGTCTTTGTACATGAAAAAAGGAGTGGTTTTCAGAAGGAAATGATTGCCCTTTATATGTGTGATTTAGTAGCATTAAGAACTATGATTGCCAGTCTATAGACAAATTTTAGTATTAGAAAACCATGCTTACTCGTACTGCAAATGCTAGTGTATGAGATTGTATTATCACTTCAATCTAATTTTAACTTGTCGTCTTTTGTATATTTGCATTTAGGTGCCATTGGGGAGTTTTTAGTACTTAATTGCTGACTAATTGGACTTACTGAAGAGAAGCTGTCTTAATTTGCATTTTGCTGTATCAAATTAATGTAAGCAAAAAAGTGCAAGAAAATGTGGAGGAAACATAGAAATTACATCGTTGAAGTGAATAAAAAAGATAAGAGTGAAGGGCGCTAATTGTTTGATTCTAATTTTCACCTTGGGTTTTTTTTTTGGTGTTTTTTCTTTGTCTTCAAATTTAAAAGTTATGTTGAAAAGATGAAGAAAATTTGGAATGAGCTAAGGGCAAGGAGCTTTTCTTCCATTTTCCATTTTGTTGAGGGCAGGCTTGAGACTGAAGAAGTTCAGCCGTAGAGAAGCAGCCCTGGAAAATTGGGGAAGTAGAGAGAAGAGGTGTTCTTACTAAATTATTTGCACATGTGCTTTGCTTCATTTGCCTAAATTGTCTTGGTTTTCAAGGAGTGCCTACGAAATTGCAAAAGACTATGTTTGGTAAAGCTTTTATAGTAGACCATTGGAGAAATTGATTCCAGAAACAGTTTTTGCTTTTCCCAGAACCTTAATTATCAGTATACATTTTGACATCTATGCTAACATTATCAATATGAAGACTAATGAATTTCTGCAGGGTTTCACTATTTTACAAGATCATCTAATCAGTTTATGAGTGGATCCATCACTCTATATTGATTTCAAGACTACTGGCTTCTTCTTAATTATGGGCCTCTTGGTTGTATCCTGGTATCTGCCAACCTATAATGACAGGGAAAAGGATGGGGAGACGAGATTTTCATTCCTTGGCCTGAGAGGGATTAAATAACAATTAGATTACCAGTAGTTATACATCCAAATTTTAGCACCATAATACTTCATATGAGCTGCAGCTGGCAATGTAGATAGGCCCTGGAGGAGAATTCGCATATTTAGACACTTGAACAAAATTGTGACACAATGAACAGAAATTACGTTATCTGCTCATGAGTTCTAATTCTAAGTTCTGTTTGTTCACAAAGTTGGATGGAGTACAAATTTGATCCCTGAAAATGTATGTTGTGTTGCTATGATATAACAGAATTCCATTACCTCTTTGTACATGCCGTTTACATAGTTTACTAGTTGACATTTTTTTGTTTTTGTATACATTATGGTAGATCTCCAATTCAGCTGGAAGTGCATATCAACCTGTTTGGTTTCATATTAGTAACATAACTTTTAGCTGACGAGAATGATATGCATTGGTTAAAATTTGGTGGTAAAAGATCAATTTGCTTGCAGAGCAAGGCTAAGGAGATGGTTATGCTAGCTGAGAAAATGAGGTTAAAGCTTCTCGCTGGTTCAAATAATCAAGCAACTGGGGCAGCCGAAGATGAACTGGGTACCAAAGAAGAGATGCAAGATTGGTTATTAAGTGTAGGTATTGCATCTCCAGTTACAAAAGAGTCTGCTGGTGCTTTGTACCATCAACAGTTATCACGCCAGGTTTACCCTTTGTTGCCCTTCTTTATTTATCAAGACCTTAGTAATTTGAATTGATGCAAACTAAATACTGGAAATGCTCTTGAACTTCCAGGAGCTGAAGTGATACAGCATGTATCATTCTTGACATCCTTCAATATTGATCTTTGCATCCTGACTTGTGCAGCTTTTTATTTTTTGAAATGTGTAATATATGTTCCATGTTGGTGATTGGTTGCTAATGCAACTGAATGGGTTTGGTGGTTTTCTTGTGTCTGCCAGTGAGCTTTCTAAGGTTGTACAAGTTATTACTGAACACTCAATGTTAAATAAAAAGGAGAAAGAAAGTTCATTTTGTTTAGTCTTGTGACATCTTTGCCGACATTACAGGCTTTAGTGTAAAGGCTTCTATGTGATACATGTGATATTAGAAGGATGACGTTGTGGTAACAAAATCTGAACCAAAGCTGCATAATTTGCAGGCTTTAAATACCTTGAGATTTGAACAATAGAAGCTTGTCATAATTTCTTCACAAAAAGGAAATATGGATCCAATCTTCCTGCAGTATCTTATGACTAACTTCTATCTTCTTCTTGTCCCTAGATAGCAATCATTTGACTATTGATCCTTAACACTAGTTTATATTGCTGTTGTTACTTAATGCAGTTTTCCTTGTTAGCATCAAATCTATTATTTGACAAGCTATTGAGGAATTAACTGATCAACATAGTTTTCAGAAGGTTGTGAAGTCGGAAACTGCTTCCCTACTTTTGGTTGAGAATTGCGGTTTGAATTGTCAAAAATTTCCTAAAGGTAGAAGCTTTTGTAACTTTTAGCTATCTAAGTTGCACCAGTGACACATGACTCGTATGCACAGATGCTTTAAACTTTTAACAAAAAAATTTATGGCATGAAGGTGACTTTGGGATAAAATATGCTTTTAAATTTTTTTCACTGTAATTGTTGGTATTGGTGTGTTCAAGCCAAAATCACTTTCTTGCGGAACTGGTGTTGGAATTATGCATGCTCATGCTGTTATAAGTCCATACTTCTCCTCAGGAAGCACTCTGATATCTTTTTCTGTTACCATCTCATGGGCCTCTGAGTATCAAATAAATAAATTTCTTGAAATTTAAGTGCAGAGCTTGAATAATCTTCCATAATCTCCATCTTCTCTACTATCCTTGTCTGCTTTAGCTCCACGTTGTCTAAGGTATAGGCTTTCTCATCTATGGTGTTCATGTACCTGGTATTAATATTCTTTTGAGACCTCTTATGTGGATCTCGCTTATCTTCTTGTTTGAGCAATCTTGTGTATTTCCACCTAATTTGCTGGGCAAAATTGATATGGTGAATTTTCTCAGTGAACGTCTGGATCACGATTCGTTAAATGCTTGCGTCATACAGTAACCCCCCCTCCCGTGGAAGTATATGTTGCTATCACATTGCTAACCTTGAAATACTAATTGGTTATATTTACCCGTTGAAGTACAACTAGTTTCAAACTTTTTTTGCTACCCTTCAATCTTTAATGGAAGCTGGAAAGCTAATTTTTTAGAGCCATCATCTTTGTCACCAATTTGTTCGAGAAAAACAAGAAAGACAGAGGAAGTGAGAGATCGTTGTTGTTTCTGTATGAATGGGGGAGATGACTTGTGTGTATGTGTTTTTAATTTTATTATTTACATGTTGAGTGCTATTTGGTTTCGAGAAAAAAAATGCACGAGTAAATGTCCCCAAAAATATGTGCTGAAAACTCATAAGAATAATAAGGGTGAGTTAGTCTTTTTGGCTTGCAATTTTGACAGGGTTAGGTGTTGTCTACTAAGTTGGACTAATTTGGTAAAACTGAAAACTATAGTGCAAGCTAGCAATCTGGTACCCAACTATAGTTCAAGTGGGGGCATATTATATGTGATCCTTTTCTTAACCTTCATTTTACCTGGAGACTTGACATACCTTGTTAATCCCATGCAGAAGAAAAATTCAGGTAGTATGTGTGACAAAATCCTCGAACATTTGCCCATAATGTATCACTTTTGGTGTACTTTGTAGTTTCTAAAGATTTGTATGAACAGTATTGTATTCGAGAGTAACAACTTGGACCTCTTAATATTATTTCTTGAAAGCATCTTGGATGATGACTTATCCATGTTGCATGTTTAGGAAATTCTGTTCATCACATCTTGCTAAGGGAGGGGGAAAAAAAAAATTTATTGACATTCTTTTGTTAGTTGAGCTGTTAGTTTACCCTATAATAGTGTATGCTATTTATGAGTCAATGCATTGATTTATCCTATTCATGCGGTGATAGGTGGCTCGCTACCTTTTTCTTGGGGGGTGTATCTAAACTTGCATGTCAATCACTCTTGATGCTATTTTTCTTCGTACTGATTTTGTTTTAATGTGCCCCAAGTCACTCCTGTTGGTTCTTAGTTGGCAGATTTTGTTAGGATTCCCTTAGAGAGAGCTGGAGGAACAATTAATCTCATAGATGTCTATTGCCTTTTCAACCGGGCTCGTGGCACAGGTTCTATTTTGTAATACATCCATGCTCATCGTCTCATGTTCTTATTGTTCTTTCTTCTATGTACATGTATATCCTTCACCTTCAGTGCTTTTGGTTTCCTATGTGACAATGCTTCTTATTTGGTGCAGAATTAATATCACCTGATGATTTGCTTCAAGCATGTTCTCTGTGGGAGAAGTTTGATGTGTAAGTTCTGCACTATCTTGAACTAGAATAATTATATTAGCACTAAGCTTGTGCGTGCATGGGACCAGCTAAGCAGTTACTTTCAGCTTCACAGTATTTTATTGCCAAGAGTCTCGTCAAGATTATCCAGATTCAATTGAGAACTACAACCTCTAAATAAAAAATAAAGTGCTCAGTGCACCTGTACGTATGCAGACATATTTGAAATATCATTCTTGATGTAAAAAATATTTTTATTTCTAAAGTGTATTTAGGATGTGTAATATTTATTGATAAGGTACTAAACAGATTTGAAATATCTTCCATAAAATTTTTTGCAAGAGAATAGAGTGCAAACCATATCAAGACTAATAATTTCTTATTAACAAAAGAAATGGGTCCAACACGCTTCCATACCCTAAATCTGATTTTTGACCGACAAAACTCCGGCTACCTCCCGAGGACTTCTTTACTTGAGCATTGCAGCCTCCAACAGCAAACAAAGAAAATAAAGCAAGTGTAAAAAGACTGCCACTAAAGCGTGATGATACCATGTGAATGATGAACTATATGTACAATCCACTTGGAAGTACTCACTTTAAAGTGAAGATTCATTAAAAAAAGTTGATAAAAATGTTTTTTGTCTTTCTTCTTCTGCTCTCCTTCTCCAGGCCGGTGATGCTTCGGAAATTTGATAGTGGTGTTATGGTCATCCAGAATAAGGCTCACAGTGATGATGAGGTAATTTCTTTACTCATATTGAGTTCAATTTTATCCACTGTATCTGTGTGTTTACATTTTCTGTGCCCTGCTTCTTGGTTTGAGGTGCTTGGTTAAATGATCTTAATCTGTTTATATTTTAAAACTTTATATGAAACGTTAGAGAATTGATGACAAAAACATGCTACTTTGTTTAAAAGTTATATTATGTCCTTATCTGATCACAAGAACTTTTATACAAAAGTTCTTTTGCCAAAGGTTCTGTTGACCCCCTGATGTTAATATCCCATGATGATTCTTTTAGTTTTGTTGTGGAACTTTGAGGTAGGAGAGTTTTCAATTATTCCAGTTCTTAAGTGGAAATATTGGAAAGCGTATGGTACTCTATATAATTGTGCTATGTAGCCGCTACATAAGGATCAGTTTATTTTTTATTTAGATCGCTCTGCATTTAGGTAAGCTTTTACTTTTGTATTTGCTTATGCATTTTATTTCAAAAGACTTAGTATGAAAAGCATGACCTATTATATACTCTATTACTCTATTCTACTCCATTATTGGAGTAGAATAAAATACTGTTCACTGATGCCTTCATGTTGTTTCTTGGTGCACTTTGAGCCTGTGACCGAAATTACCTTTGATGTTGGTGGAAGTTGTATGGCTTGTTGGCAGATGCCTTGGATTGGCCTTTAGATTTTAATGTTACACTGAAGACAATTGGGTGTGTTTTGTACAGCTGAATTGTTCTTCGATAGAATGAGATGAGTTGCAGTTAATGACTCGGAGGGAGGAAAAAGAAAATGTGAATGAAATAAGAGGATCTATATTGTGCTGGTGCTGGTTAACTTTTTTCCTTGTACATTGGCATGAGAAATATTTGACTGGACTTAATTCAATTACCAAGAGAAAACTTGTGCTAGGGGTGAGCAAATTCGGTTCTTACCGAATTCATAACCGATTTCAAATTCAATTCGGTAATTTGAAATCGGGAATTTGGTAATTTGGTACAAATTCGGTACGTACCAAATTCACCGAATTCTAATATGGTATGAAATAGGTAATGAGATTATGAATTAGGTAATAACCGATTTCGCATTTAAATTCGGTAATTGAAATCGGGTACCGCATTACTGCATTCGAATTACCAAATTGGTATATAAAATTATATAATATATAGATAAATGCTATTTGGTATTAGTATATACTACTAATACTTTATTATATTATATAGGTAAATGCTATTAATAATAATTAGTATATGGTATTATCAATTTATCATCATATCATATACTTATAATAATAATAATATATAATAATGTACAATATATTATTTTAGTATTTGTTAATTGTTATATGACTATAATAATACAAATATATAGTAATACATAACAATATAAGATAACTATAATACTTATTATTTTATACATGAGTAACATGACTAGAATTAGATAATAATTAACACATATATGTATAATACTAAATATTAAACAATAAACATAATTAGTAATTAAATTTAGATATTGGTAATTTGATACATCATTCATGTTTGAATTATTGAATATTTGAATGCGTAATCTCTAACTTGCAAGTATTAGTGTACTCTACATATTTAACATAAAAATTCATATTATCTATTCACTAATCTTAATTCTTAAGACTTTAAGTATAGATAAGACAACTAAGTAGTTAGCCGTGTAAGTGAATGCATATGAATTGCAAATCAATGTACTAATGTATTGACTTTCACAATAATATATGTAAGTAAATAAGTTTTATTTTGATTTGAAATAAATTATAAGTTTGTAAGTAATATAACTTATCATTACTCATTGTAATTTGTAAGTTTGTAACTAATATTACTTATTATTAATCATTGTAAATTATAAATTCATAAATTATCACTAATCATTGTACAGTCTAAGGTTTATTCTAGTTTAAATTAATCACTTTTTATGTGTTCCTTAAATCATAGACTAATGATTTTAGGCATAAGTTATCAAATAAGTTAAAATTCATATTATCTATTTACTAATCTTAAATCCCTTTTGGTTTTGGCCACTGCCCTCTATCCGGCCTAGAATCCGACCGGATTGCGAACGTGGCAGATACTGTTCATCCATGACAAATTTTCGTTTCTTTGTTTTGCGACCAGTTAAGCGTTCGAATGCTGTATTATCACTCGGGATCATATCTTGTGTGTGTATGACTTGATAAGCTTCGATAGTTTGTTTTATTGGAATTTCTCTTGCAAGTTAGATAGGTCTTGTACGTTTCGTCTCCATAGTCCTAGCGAGAATTGGGCAGGCGGTTCGTCGAACCCTTTAGTTTGCCTTAGGGGGAGATGGGGCATCACAGTTGGTATCATAGCCTAGTTGAGATAATCTGGGCAACTAGGACTAGATTTTTAGATCCGTAGGGATTTGTGTTCGCATATGAATTAGTGCTATTGTATCATTTAAGACACCACTGATGGCTCTCTTATAGGTTATGGACGGAGCTAGTGGGAGCGGGGTGAGCCACCGCGAAGGCGATATTGAGTCATCGACTATCAGGAGCGACCTAGAGGTCCGATCCGGTGTGGTATACTGCTAGCCGCACCCGACGTTGTAGTCGTTGCCAGAGATACTCTTATATAGATCATGTGGTCGCCCAAGATCACGCTGAGATACTCAAACTGAAGAGGCATCATGAAGATGCAAGCGGATCGAATTTTGTTCCATGGGATTCCTCTTGTATATATGTGACTGAACTACTGTGTAACTGTTTGATCCTGTTATGTGTTATATGTATATGTTTTATGTGTTTAAATGCCTTATGAGGTACTTGTTTTGGCTAATTGTTTATGTTTATTATAAGTGAAGGGGTTATGTGCCATTTAACGTTATACTTATATTTTGACCTTAGATTGACTTAGATCGATGGAGGGCACTCGTAATGGTCGAGGCCGTGAACGTGGTGGTAGGCAACCCACGACTGAAGGGGGTGCTAGGAAACCATGCCCGAACTAAACCCTGAACCCCAACTTGATCCCAACGCTCAGGTAGCCACTATCCAGCGGATGACTGATCTTCTAGCACATGTCGTGCAACAACAGGACCACAACCCTAACCCACCTGTTAGGAATCCCGAAAACCCTGGAAAATTCATGTAGAGAGCGAGGATCGAGCTCTCAAAAGGTTTCAAAAATTTTTTCCACTGAAGTTTCTTGGAGGGCCTGATCCAGACGTGGCCGAACAGTGATTGGAGAAGATAATAGACATTTTTGCTGCCCTACACTACTCGGAAGAGAGGTAAGTTACTTTTGGGTCTTTCAACTAGAAGGGCCGCCCGTTCTTGGTGGAATATTATACGAACCAAGTGGGAGAGAGAGTAGACACCAACACTGTGGGTGACTTCGTAAGGGAGTTTAACGTCAAGTACTTCCCGCCTTTGATCCAGGAAAAGAAGGAAGACGAGTTTATCCGACTTCGCCAAGGCACCCAATCAATGGCCGAATACGAGAGCCAGTTTACCCGCTTGTCGAAATTTGTTCCTGAACTTATTCTAACGGAACAAAGGAGGGTGAGACGTTTCATTCAGGGGCTTAACGGAAAATCCAAAAGGACTTGGCTGTAGCCCAAATCACTACTTTTAGTGATACAGTGGAGAAGGCTTTGCGAGCTAAGAATGCAAGGCTCCAAGTGAGGAACTTCCAAGTTCGAAAACGTGGGCTCTCGGGAGGTAGTTCTAGTCAAAGGGATAAGAGTACCCTCCCAAATTTGGAAGGGAAGCTGGAACGGGAACGACTTCCGGGTACAGCAAGAGGTACTCCGCCAAGAGGTGGCCAAAGTGGACGAGGTCGACAGAGGAGTGCTTCCCAGGGGAGCTCTGCCACTATTTCTCGTGGTCCGTGTGGCTTCTGTGGGAAGCCAAACCATACGGAGGATAATTATTGGAGGAAAGAGAGGAAGTGCTTACACTGTGGAAGCGCGGAGCACCAGATCGCCAATTGTCCGATCCAACCTCGAGAGATAAGAGGGACTATACAATCATCGAAAGATACCTCAAAACAATCGAAAGTGGAAGGAGTGAACCGAAGGTGCCTGCTCGGTGTATTCTATCGAGCAACGTCTTGTCCCTGACTTGACGGAGGTGGTGGAAGGTACGATTCCTGTCTTCCACCGTCTAGCTAGGATTTTGATAGACATCGATGTCACCCATTCCTTTATTAATCCTGATTTCATGTGTAGAATTGATATCACCCCTGTTAGTTTGCCATATGATCTGGAAGTAAGTACTCCTACAGGGGACCAGTGTTTGGTTACTAGCAAAATGTACGTAAACTGTGAAATCTAGGTAGGAGAGAAAAATTATTGGGGAATTTGATAAGTTTAGCCATTAAGGGTACGATGTGATATTGGGTATGGATTGGTTAGTTAGATATGATACCCAGTTGGACTGTGAGAGGAAGATCGTGAATTTCGTATCCCTGGGAGGCAATATTAAGGCTAGATGTGAAGGGCAATCTACCTCATCTGCAATGATTTCGGGTATTCGGGTTAGGAAACTATTGAGTAGAGGGCACAAGGGTTCCTAGCCTTTCTCATTAACACTCCCACCGATAAATTGAAAGTAGAAGATGTTCCAGTAGTGGGTGAATATTTGGATGTGTTTTCCGATGAATTAGTGAATCTACCACCGGAAAGAGAGATAGAATTTGAGATTAACTTGTTACCGGAGACTTCACCTATCTCCAAGACCCCATACCGTATGGTATCTACAGAACTCAAGAAGTTGAAATTGCAGTTGCAAGACCTTTTGGAGCGGGATTTTATCCGTGAGAATGGATCTCCTTGGAGGGCACCCGTTCTCTTTGTTAAAAGGAAGGACGGGACCTTGAGATTGTGTATCGATTACCGAGAGTTGAACAACGTGACTATTAAGAATAAATACCCGCTACCCGACATTGATGAGTTGTTTGACCAGTTGCAAGGTGCAGTGGTCTTTTCAAAACTAGACCTTCGACAAGGGTACTATCAATTATTGATTCGAAAGGAAGATATGCCTAAAACTGCCTTCAATTCTCGGTATGGGCATTTCGAATTTGCTGTCATGCCCTTCGGACTGACCAACGCCCCTGCCGCTTTTATGGACCTAATGCATTGGATTTTCAAACCCTACCTGG